GCTGGAATTTAGTCATGGCTCTATTCACATACATAGTTTGTGGAGGCCCCCATTAGGTGGAAGGGGAAAAGGCCTTTGTTCCTGCTGTTAAGAGTAGTAGTCAGTGTCTGATTATACAGTGCCTCTTCAAATGCCTGTCAACTAGTACAGGGTAGAACACCAGCTAGTAAGTGCCAGGTCACAATGATAGTCAAGGCCCTAATCACACTCACACCCTCCCAGTGCACCTGTCCACCAGGAGAAGATGAGGTGTGTTTTATTTCTGGGCTATGATGGCAGTGTTCCACTCACATCTTTGTAGGGTCCACATTATTAATGTGCCAGGATTGGCAGTCGGTTTCTGCTCATACAGCAGCTGAATGTACCCAGTGTTTGGGAGAAGGGACATTGCCTTATTCCTGGGCTGGGATGATAGGGCTGTGCACACATGCAGTCTCTGCAGATACTTACTGGCAAGGTTGTGGTGCTGCTTGCTGGCTGTTGTGCAGAATGGTGTGGGAGACAGGCATTTCTCTTTGTACCATTCAGGTAACATAGAGTTGGCATTGTCAAAAGGGCTTTTTGTTCTGCAGGGCCACAACTTTTTCAGCCCCTTGTCTGATCATATCATGGGTGTTTTTTGTTTTCTTGTTATTAGCGTGTGGTGTGTTTTTGGGTAATTGTTTACATCTGGTGACATTTCCAATTTGCAAGGTTCTCTGGTACTCAGACCTGAAGCCAAAACAAAAACAAAACCCAACTCTCATCCAAGGAAGTCACCACTGGGCTGGGTTGTTCCTTAAGTCCCAAAGTCCATAATCAGTTTGCCCCCAGGTCTCAGTTTCAGATTCTTCTTAAGTTTCTTTCATGTATTTATCCCCATGGACCTTATGTCTAGTAAGTGGGGAGGAGTAGGGCAAAATATGTTTACTCCATCATGTCTAGAACAATTTTTTTAATCTTTGCTCTTTTGCATGTAGGATTTTTTGTTTTTCTGCTGCTGTTAAGATTCTTCTGTTATTACTGATTTTAATCAGTTTGGTTATGATTGCTTTGGTGTGATTTGCTTGGATGAGTTGAACTTCCTGGGTATGTAGGTTTACAGTTTTCACCAAATTTGGAAAACTGATTTCTGTAAATGTCTTTTTTTTTTGGTCCCGGCTCATTCTTTTTGCTCTCTTCCAGGGATCCCAGTTACAATAATTAGGTTGATTGCAGTTATCCCATAGTTTTCTGTTACCTAATTTACTTTTATTAGTCTGATTTTCTGGTTCAGCTTATAGTTTTTGTTGCTGTGTTCTCAAGCTTAATGTTTTCTTTCATAGTGTCTACTCTATTAATCTCATTGACTGTATTTTTAAATCTTAGACATTTTTTAATCTCTAGAATTTTGTTTAGGTCTTTTTAGTATTTTCCACATCTTATCATGATCAATCTCTTCTTCCTTGTTGGGCATGTAGAAAATAGTTGAGATGGTTGTACTGCCAGTATCTATTGCCAAATATGAAATCTAGCAAATCAAATATAAAAGCTATTTTTGTCATTCCTGGGTGTGTTCCTATAGATTTTTCTTGTTACACTCATGTATTCCTGCATTTTTACACTCCTGTTTTTGGTGTTTTTCCTACCAGCCACACATCATAAAATTTGCCTTCTATGTGCTTGGTATTTTTGTATTTCTAGAAATATACTCAAGGGGCGCCTGGGTGGCTCAGTCGTTAAGCATCTGCCTTCGACTCAGGTTATGATCCCAGGGTTCTGGGATCGAGCCCCGCATCAGGCTCCCTGCTCTGTGGGAAGCCTGCTTCTCCCTCTCCCACTCCCCCTGCTTGTGTTTCCTCTCTCGCTGTCTCTGTCAAATAAATAAAATCTTTAAAAAAATAAAATTATAGAAATAAACTCAAGCTTTATTCTGGAATATATCTATGTTACCTGGTAACAGTTTTTTCCTATTAAGATTTCCTTTAAACTTCATTAGGTGGGACCAGAAAGCCTTTAGTACTAACTTGCTTCTCTACTGAGGCACTAACTTTTCAAGTAATCTAACCAGTTTATTATGAAGTTTACCTCTCTGGATGATGGGGACACAAACTATTTCTGACTGTGTGAGCTCCCAAGGGTTACCTGTGCTTTTTCTAAGCAATTCTTTTGCTGGATTCAGGTAGTTACCTCCATGCACTGATCAAGACTTGCTCTAGTAGTCTGCCCTGCACCTAGCTTTCTCTGCCTCCCTGGACCCTCATCTCCATCTTTGCATCGCGATGCTCCCCCTGTATTCCTCCTCCCTGTGCTGAGATGTGGAAATGCCTAGTAGGAAATAAGTGGAGTCAAAAATATGGATATCATATTTGTTTACACTTGGTTAGGTGTTTCTGTTGTCTTATGTTCAATATCTCAAAACAATTGCTGCTTGTATTTTATCTAGTGTTTTGTTACTTTAGGCAGGAAGGTAAATCCAGTCTATTTTCCATTCTGGCTGCAAACAATATATTTTTTTTAAAGTTCTAGACTTACAGAAAAATTGTAATAATACAGAATTTCCATACATTCTTCTCCTAGTTTGCATAACATTAACATATTACATTATCATAGTACAGTGATCAAAACCAGGACATTAACATTGGCATAGTACTATCAATTAAGTACTGGCTTTTTTTTTTTTTTAAGATTTTATTTATTTTAGAGATAGTTGGGGGGAAGAACAGAGGGAGAGGGACAAGCAGGCTCTGTGCTGCCAGATGTGAGGCTCAAGCCCATGACCCTGAGATCATGACCTGAGCCGAAATCAAGAGTTGGGCGCTTAACTGATTGAGCCACCCAGGCGCCCCTAAAGTACCAGCTTTATTTGGATTTCACCAAGTCTCCATTAATGTTCCGAAGATCAAATCCAAATTCCTGCATTGTATTTAGTTGTCAAATGGCCTCAGTCTCCTCCACTCTTTTGGGAGTTTTTCATTCTACCCTTGCCACTCATGACCTTGAAAGCTCATGGATTTCTGGAGTAAGTTATTATATAGAAAGTTCTTCATTTTCAGTTTGTCGGCAGTTTCCTCATGATTACATTATGGTTATGCTTTTCTTTCTTTTTTCTTAAGTCAGAATACTATTCCTGTGGTATGCCCTTCTTAGTGCCTCACTTCGGGTAGTATATATGCCAGTGTCTTATTACTGGTGATCATTTCAAAAAGGTGGTATATGGAATGTTTTCTCCTTGTAATTATATATTTGGGATAGATACTTTGGTATAATTCTAATGGCCTGTTTCTCTTTAAACTGTCACCTTCATATTTTAGTAACCATCAGTGAATTTTGTATATAATTATTACTGTTATTACAGTGTTTCCCTATCTCCCTCATCCCTTTTATATTTATTAATTAGAATTCTTCACCACTAAACTGAAAAAGGATTCCATTATTGGAAGCTAATTTCATGGTTCACTGCAGCAATAAATAGGATAGGTCTGCCACATTCTTTTGTATTTGGGGGGAAAAACCCAAAAACTTCTATGTAGACTAGGGAAAATGTGGAAAGGATAAAGTACCAAATGAAAATGGAAAGGAATGAAGTTTTAACAATCTGAGCACCAGAGAAGTAGCAAAAAAAAAACGTTAATAGCAATAATTACATTATGGTTTATTGTACCAGCGGTCTGTGAAATTTCAGGAGTTCTTAACAGTTCGAAGAAAAATGTTGATGTAATGTGACCAAAATATAGTTGTAATTACAAATAAGGGAGGCATAATAAGGGTATCTTGTATTTATTAAATTTTTATTTATTAATCATTTCAAAAAGTAAATGCCAAGATACATGGTTGTTTCTGTCATTCTTTTTAAGTGTATATGTAAGGTCTAGATAACTCATTGTTTTAATTTGTTCAAGCCAGCAAAAAGAAAAAGGAAAGGAAAAAAAATAAATATATATAAATTTTTTTTTTTTAAGATTTTATTTACTTCAGAGAGAGTAAATGAGTAAGAGAAAAAACACCGGAGAGAGGGAGAAGCAGACTCCCTGCTGAGCAGGGAGCCCGATGTGGCGCTCGATCCCAGGACCCTGAGATCATGACCCGAGCTGAAGGCAGATGCTTAACCAACTGAGCCACCCAGGCACCTCTAAGTATATATTTTTAAAAACTGCTAATTTAAATAAAATACTAATTAGTAATATTTAAATAAAAAGGTCAATATATACAATAAGAAAACGGCTTAATTACTATTGCTGGGTCATGCAAAACTTTTATAGAGTCCAAAAATTCTGGGGAAGACCAATTTGAAAAATTAAAATCTAATAAATGATACATAAATGTATACATAAATACATATGTATCTAAACAATAGGTAAATTTTCTTATAAACATCTAATAACCAGTGGCTCATAATTAACATTAATTGCATAACCAGGTCAACTCTCCTGACTAAAGAAAGAGATAATGGACAGTTAAGAATTACAACTTTATCTCTGTTCACTAATTTTCTTTCTTCTTTTTTTTTTTTTTTAAAGATTTTATTTATTTATTTGACAGAGAGAGACACAGCGAGAGAGGGAACACAAGCAGGGGGAGTGGGAGAGGGAGAAGCAGGCTCCCCCCAGAGCAGGGAGCCCGATGCGGGACTCGATCCCAGGACCCCGGGATCATGACCTGAGCCGAAGGCAGTCGCTTAACCAACTGAGCCACCCAGGCGCCCCAATTTTCTTTCTTCTTTGCTTTTCCTTTCCTTTCTAAAATATTGATTGTCAAGCTGCCACAACCCAGCAAGGCAACACTAACAGGGAATAAAATGTATAAATATACAAAGCCCAATTGAAGCCATGGTAATAATAGAGTTGTAGACCCTCCAAATATAAGTTTACTAAGTTTATAATCATTGCAATAGTTGTAGATTTTCCCCTCCTTTAATAAATCTAAGAGACAGATAAGAATGGCTTAGTAAATTTTACAAAATATTTAAAAGTGCCCCTTTCTTTTGGATCCTCATTGGTACTGCCTAGAGGTCAAAAGACTCTTTATTTTTTATTTGACAGAGAGAGACGGCGAGAGAGGGAACATGAGCAGGGGAAGTGGGAGACGGAGAAGCAGGCTTCCCGCTGATCAGGGAGCCCGACGCGGGGCTCGATCCCAGGACCCCGGGATCATGACCTGAGCCGAAGCCAGATGCTTAAAGACCGAGCCACCCAAGTGCCCCTCAAAAGGCTCTTTAAAGGAATTGTGTTGTGGTAGGTATTTAGGCAAGTCTGTCATGTCAAAACAGAAATTTTAAATCAATCAATTGATGACAATGGGAAGGAAATTACTTATCTAACATTAAAACAAAAACAATAGAAAATTAAACAAAAACAAATCTGCACAAATACCATGCAGGGTCATAAGACTTTTTTTTTTTTTTTAAGATTTTATTTATTTATTTGACAGAGACACAGCGAGAGAGGGAACACAAGCAGGGGGAGTGGGAGAGGAAGAAGCAGGCTTCCCGCAGAGCAGGGAGCCCGATGCGGGGCTTGATCCCAGGACCCTGGGATCATGACCTAAGCCGAAGGCAGACCACTTAACGACTGAGCCACCCAGGTGCCCCGGGTCATAAGACTTTAAAACAACATAGTAAGTGACTGGAAGTTTTAACTCTCTGGAGGAAGGAAAGTACATCATATGTAACAAAAAATTAGAATGCAAAAGATTTATTTGAATAATATTACAAATTAACAAGCCAAAAACAATGAAAAGACAAAAGAACAAAAACACAAACATCAAAAGTAACTGTAAACAAAACATGCCCGGAAAAGAAATTCATGTGAAATTGACTAATAATTAGTGAAACACATTTTCCATACATATCAGAAATGAATAGGGACCATCTTATCTAAACGGATATTCACAATGTTAACTGATATGAAAAGGAGAAATAAAAACAAATATTTGGCAATATCTAACAAAACAAGTATACATCACCTATCACTGAGCAATTCTACTTCTAAATAGAGGGGCCAGGAAGTCTGGAAACAATAAGAGGAACAATGGGCCCTTGATTACTTCATATTATAATGCATGGACTTTCCCAGTGAAACTCAGATGCAAAAGGCTTTTGTACATGTCTTTCATTCGAGACAAAACACCAGTACAACTTTTTTATCATCAAGTAAGGTGCTTACCCACGCTAAAGGCACTGAGACATTCCTTACATTCATAGGGTTTCTTACCAGTATGAATTCTCTGATGTTTTGTAAAGGATGAACTATGTCTAAAGGCCTTCCCACATGCTTTGCATTCATAAGGTTTCTCTCCAGTATGAATTCTCTGATGTTCAGTAAGGGCTGAACTATGTCTGAAAGCCTTCCCACATACTTTACATTCATAAGGTTTTTCACCACTGTGAATTCTCTGATGTTGAATAAGTGCTGATGTAAGTCTAAAGAACTTTCCACACTCTTTACATTCATAAGGTTTCTGACCACTGTGAATTCTCTGGTGTCGAGTAAGTTCACTACCTACTCCAAAAGCTTTCCCACATTCCTTGCATTTATAGGGTTTCTCACCAGTATGAATTCTCTGATGTCTAGTCAGGGATGAACTATTTCTAAAGACCTTTCCACATGCCTTGCATTCATAGGGTTTCTTTCCAGTATGAATCCTCTGATGTCGAGCAAGTTCTCTACAGACTCCAAAGGTCTTCCCACATTCTTTACATGCATAAGGTTTCTCACCTGTATGAATTCTCTGATGTTCAATAAGCTGTGAACTAATTCTAAAGACTTTCTCACATTGTATACATTTGTATGGTTTTTCACCAGTATGAATTCTCTGATGTTCAGTTAGCTGTGAATGGAATCTAAAGTCCTTGCCACATTCCATACATTTGTAAGGTTTCTCATCAGTGTGGATTTTCTGGTGTCGAGTAAGTTGTGCATGCACTCTAAAGGATTTTCCACAGAAAGTGCATTCATAGGGTTTCTCACCATCATGAATTATTTGAAGTGGAGTTATTTCTTCAACTCTTCTAATGGTCCTTTCATATTCCTTACATTTATAGCACTTCTGATCATCATGCATTTTCTGTATACTAAGGTCTTCATAAAAACTAAATGCATTCTCATATTCCATATATTTACAAGGTTTCACACCACTATGTATATTCAGTTGTAGGGTATGTGGGTCATCTCCAAAGGTTTTCCAATATGCATTATATTGATAGGTTTTCTCATCAGTATGTATTTTCTCATATTCATCAAAATTTAAGTCACACCTAAGGACCTTCCCATATGCCTTATATGCATGGGGCTTCTTGCTATCATGAATTCTCTGATGTGATATAAGAGACTTATGATGTTTGTAATTGGGCACTTTTTCAGAGTTGATTTTCATTTGGCTGAAATATCCCACTTCAGGTCTTTGTACTTCAGTCTTGCTTTTGCTTTGCCATTCATTTCTGAAAATGGAGCTCTCAAGACCAATGAATTTACTTTCTGTTACTTTCCACTGAGAACCAGTGATGTCCTTTCTAGTCTTTGTGTCATACTTGGACTCCAAATCTGAAAGAGAGGGGAAAAAGAAACACAATTTTTGTTTTCATGTGCCATAAAAATGAAACATTTATACGATGCAAAGGAGAAAAACTGCAAATACAAACAATACAAGTGAATGACTAAAATACCTCAATGAAGTCTTAAGAAAGATCAGAGAATGATGAAAGCATAATGTAAGATTGTGAGGTTTGTGATAAGGGAAACAGATAAAGTCAATGGGTCTGACATTTAGGTGTTGATCATCACTTAGTAAGCTTGTTGACTGTACTAATGTTTGGGAACCAATCCAGGTAAACTGACCAACATCTACAGATGTAGAACTAGTTATCAATATCATGTATAGATATAGCTAATGCAGATCATAATTTGATAATCTACACATACTAACAATTTTGGTTTTGTTTTTTGTTGGGGAGCCCAATGCGGGGTTTGAACTCACGACCCTATGATCAAGACCTGACAGATCGAGTCGGACACTTACCTGACTGAGCCACCCAAGCACCTGAGGTTGGTTGGTTTCTATTTTTAAAACTTTTTATTTTATTTTTATTATTTGAGATAGAGAGCAAGTGAGAGAGAGACAGCATGAGCAGGGGGAGCAGTGGAGGCAGAGGGACAAGCAGACTCCCCACTGAGCAGGGAGCCCGACATGGGACTCGATCCCAGGACCCTTAGATCATGACCTGAGCCGAAGGCATACACTTAACCAACTGAGCCACCCAGGCGCCCTGGTTTGTTTTTTTTTAATAAGAGAATCCAAATACTTCACTGTGGATAACAAGGTGCTTGTAAGACCTCATCTTAATCCATTATTCCTTTTCACCTAATCTTTTTTTGACCTCTTACAACAAACATAATTTCCATCCACAGGATGTTTCATTGCTTAGAAATGGGTTCTTTATATACCACCCACATTTTACCATCCAGATCTAAAAGTTACTACCCTCAGAAATGAGGTACTAACTGATCGTAAGTTCATATTTGTTTCTGTTCCAATATCTAGTTGCTCTAGTTGCCTCACATTATTTTTTTTCAGTTGTGTATTCAGTAACTTTCTGTTGTTATGCTGTTTAGCCTTATTCCTTAAATTCCAAAAGGAGAAATATAATCATTATATGCCACTGAATAACAAGCCCCAGGGACATTTAAGTTGATAATTACAGGGAAATTAAATCACTTGATGAAAAGAATCTAAATAAGACAAAAAGGAAATATTATAAAGATCAGTCACTGGGTAACACAACTGATCATCAAAACAGTTATGTACACATAAGAATGATGCAGTAGTTTAAGTGTGCCTCCGTTCCTTCCAACCCTCACACTATCCTGCAGTGATTTATACACACACACAAGTAGTGTTTATGAATGATTTTTTTCTAATTGACTCTCCACTTACATATACTGTCTACATCACTGCTGTTAATTCCCTGCTACGCATAACCATGATTTTCTTTACCCCACCTGTCAGTAAAGATGAGGAATTTTATTTACTGTTCTTCATTAGCTTTTTCACTATCACACATCTATCCTACTGAAATCCTAGTCTATATTTAAATGTTTCCTTCGTGATGTTTCATTTTCCTGTACTCAAAGTCAACGATTGTTACACTCTGCAAAGCAGTTTCAGAATATTTTCGATATTATAGTAGGTATAAATCATACTATAAAGCTTATGCAATTCTGAAAGGGGAAAAAGCTAACAGAATGATGTGGAAAAGGTGGTATAGGTGGGCAAGAATGTAAAAAACAATCTGTTGAACATTGGCTGGAGATTGGCAATTAGATGAGGGGATAACCTGAGGAAAATCCAAAATGAATGATAAACATTCATGAAACACGGCAAAAATAATTTCCTGTGACTGAATTATGTTATAAGTAACAAAAGTATAATAATGCAATCATTATTTGATTAGAATAATAAAACTGTAAATGAACGCCAGTATTAGTAAATTAAAAAGCACTTCTACCTAGAAATGAAAAAACTTTCTACCAAATGTGGAAATGTGATATTACAAAAATTTCAGAGAATGATCCCATTGAAAATACAGTTGACCCTTGAAACTGGGATTAGGGTGCCATTGCCCTGCACAATCAAAAATCATCATATAACTTCTGACTCACCCCAAACTATTAATAGCCTACTACTGCCTGGAAGCCTTTCCAGTAACAGTTGATTAATACATATTTTATATGCTATATGTATTAGGTACTGTATTCATACAATAAAGTAAGCTAAAGAAAAAATGTTAAGAAAAACGTAAGAGGGGCACCTGGGGGGCTCAGTCAGCTGAGCATCTGCGTTAGGCTCAGGTCATGATCCCAGAGTCCTGGAATCAAGCCCCGCATTGGGCTCCCTGCTGCAGGAAGCCTGCTTCTCCCTCTCCCTTTGCCTGCCGCTTCCCTTGCTTCTGCTGTCAAATAAATATAATCTTTAAAAAAAAAAAAAATAATACATTTACAGTACTGTACTACCTTTATCAAAAAATTCACGTTTAAGTGGACCCACACAGTTCAAACCTGTGTTGTTGAAGGGTCAACTGTATTATATATTAAAATCTAGGGCGCCTGGGTGGCTCAGTTGGTTAAGCGACTGCCTTTGGCTCAGGTCATGATCCCGGAGTCCTAGGACTGAGTCCCGCATTGGGCTCCCGGCTCAGTGGGGAGCCTGCTTCTCCCTCTGACCCTCTCCCCTCTCATGCTGTTTCTCTCTCTCTCAAATAAATAAATAAATAAAATCTTTTAAAAAAATCTATGGAAGTCAGCATTAGTCACACAAAAAGTAAGGATTTAAATATTTATGTTAATAAGGAGAAAATGAAAATAAGTAATGTATACATCCCAATCAAGAAGATAGGAAACGGGCGCCTGGGTGGCTCAGTCGTTAAGCGTCTGCCTTCGGCTCAGGTCATGATCCCAGGGTCCTGGGATCGAGCCCCGCATTGGGCTCCCTGCTCCGCCAGGAGCCTGCTTCTCCCTCTCCCACTCCCCCTGCTTGTGTTCCCTCTCTAGCTGTCTCTCTCTCTGTCAAATAAATAAAATAAAATCTTTAAAAAAAAAAAAAAAGAAGTTAGGAAACAACAAAGTGACCTAAAGAAAAGGTGAGGGGGGAATTCAATAAATACAGAATCAGATATAGCTAGAAAACATAGAAAGAATATAAATAACAAATATAAAAAATAAAATGATAAAAGAGAAAACCATCAGAGAAGGTATTTTCTAAAATGTTTTAAGACTGCTATGCTAATCGGGGCGCCTGGGTGGCTCAGTTGGTTAAGCAACTGCCTTCAGCTCGGGTCATGATCCCGGAGTCCTGGGATCGAGCCCCACGTTGGGCTCCCAGCTCAGTGGGCAGCCTGCTTCTCCCTCTGACGCTCTCCCCTCTCATGCTGTTTCTCTCGCTCTCACATAAATAAATAAAATCTTAAAAAAAAAAAAAAAAGACTGCTATGCTAATCAATTTGAAAATGTTGAATTACTGAATGAAAAGGGTGAATTATTTTCTAGGTAAATAGATATTAGAAACCCCAGGAGCCATAAAAATTGAAAAAAGACCAATTTGCTAGACAGATAAAACTTGTTAGAGACTCCCCTCCCACGAAACAAAAAATCATAAGCATGCCCATTGCTCAGGTTGTGGTAGTAAAACATGTAACAAGCTAGGGCTCCTAAAAGAAAGATCCGACTCATGATGTGGTGTAGGGAAGGGAGATGTGCCCTTGATTGTTGTGACAGAAAGCAAGAAATCTGAATATAGACACACTACTATGGTGTGAGGATGGAAGGCATGGAGACATGCTTTAACTGTTGCATCATTCTTATAGGACACACAAATCACCTGAAGGAGCTAAGGGAGACCACCATTTGACAATACAAGAATCAAAAGGGGAAAAAACCTTTGTGTACTAAAATATGCTAAATAAATAAGTAAAATTAATACCTAGTATTGATTTTTTTTAAACTACAACAGAAATCACAAACTTAGACTAGAAGAACACACTTTTCACCAATTCAGGTGTCTGGTCTGGGATAAGGAAGGTATAGGGTGAGGCTGGGAAAGTCTCAAAAAGCAAGAATAAATTTAAAGATTAAAGGACTGAGTCAGAGACACACAAAAATCACCATAAGAAATTTCTTGATATCCATACAACTGGGCATCAAGAATTAAGACTGGTGAGCTAAAGTAAACTGAATCAAAAACCAATTAAAAAAAAATGAAACATAAACAAGAAAAAGTCAGAAAATTTCAGATGCACCATTTTTAGTCGCTAATCAGTTATAATCGTAGGAAGAACATAAACATTCTTGCTGGTAACAACATGAGGGCAACTAATAAATGCAGAAGGAATGAGGGATTTAGAAGAAAACATTGATCTAAATGAAGATTTTTAATTGTAAAAATCATTAGGCTAATTATTAATAAGGAACTATATATTCACAGGATGAGAAGCTAAGACAACAGATTTTTCTTTTTCTTTTTTTTTAAGTAGGCTCCCTCGGGGCTTGAACTCACAACGCTGAGATCAAAACTTGAGGTGAGGGCGCCTGGGTGGCTCAGTTGGTTGGGCAGCTGCCTTCGGCTCAGGTCATGATCCTGGAGTCCTGGGATCGAGTCCCGCATCGGGCTCCCTGCTCGGCAAGGAGTCTGCTTCTCCCTCTGACCCTCCCCCCCTCATGCTCTCTCTCATTCTCTCTCAATAAATAAAATCTTAAAAAAAATTAAAAAAAAAAAAAAAAACTTGAGGTGAGAGCAAGAGTAGGATACTTAACCGACTGAACTACCTAGGCGCCCCTCACAGAGATATCCTTCTGACCATACTGTGTGAATTTGCTTTCTCCCTCATTCTTTATTCCTTTGTTGTTATTTTTTACTTTTCTTTATAGCACTTACCACTATATATGATACATTTTCTAATTGTTTTCCTGTTTATTATACATCTCGCTAGTGAGTCAATTCCGTAAAGCAAGAACTGTATCATTTTTTCTCACCATTGTACTGATAGGTCTACCATAATATTTATCTCAGTGTAGACAGTGATTAAATGTTGAGTATATAAATGACCATGGTTTTTTGTCAAGAGAATTTATATAAATTCAAATAGAAAGCAACATGGAAAAAATGTTGGTTGCACTAGGGAAGACCTTAATTGGCTTCCCCAAGTGTTGGGCTTTTTTCCACAGGGCTTTAAAGGGAGTTTCCCAAAAACATCACAAAGACCCACCTATTCCCAGAGAAGCTGGGCTTTTTACTCTGGTGATGGCTTTCCCTCTCTTACCAGCAGCCCTCACTCACCTGGCCCTCTGTTCTTGTCATATCCCTTACGACCCTCCAGAACAGCTTCCCTTCCTCCAATAAGGTGATCACAAATGGCTTAAAAATGGAACAACCTGGGCACCTGGGTGGCTCAGATGGTTAAGCGTCTGCCTTTGGCTCGGGTCATGATCCCGGGGTCCTGGGATCGAGTCCCGCATCGGGCCCCCTGCTCTTTGGGAGCCTGCTTCTCCCTCTGCCTCTCTCTGTCTCTCATGAATAAATAAATAAAATCTTTAAAAAAAAAAAAAGAACAACCTGCTTATGACAAAGGAATGTAACATAAGGTATAAAAAAAGAACTACAATTATATAAAACACTTAAGAGAATTGGTTCAGTTTTGATAAATGAAGTTGAATTGATACTGATAGATTTCAGAGAAAAGAAATGTGAGGAGATTGAAAGACCATTCACCTTAGAGTGACCACAGAATTATATAAAGAGATCTTTATTCAAACCCATTCCAACTCTTTGTCTTGTGAGGCAATTTATTGTACCAGTTAATAACACCAGCTTTTGTGTCAGACTACTTGGGTAGAAAACCTCCATTGATACTAATTAGCTGTGTAATCCTGGAGAAGTTGCCTAAATACTTTTTGTCTTAGCAAAATAATACAACAAGTATTCATGTCATAGGGTTACTGAAGAATTAAAAGATTCAATATATTAAAAGTGCTTAGAATAGAACCTGGTACATGCCAAGATCGATGTGATCTGACAGGAAAACAGGCAGCTTTCTAAAACATTAAAAGATCCTTATTGGAATACTGACAATGTTAAATGCGAAGTTCTTCAACCACAAAACAGGTGTAAGACCGTACATGTGAGGCAATGAACATGAATTCTGTTTATCCATCTAACATACAAATTATGCATTCTTTTAATAATCATAACAAATCAGGACACAGTTTCCTAGCTACTCTTCAAGAAGGTGGGATAGAAAATAGCAAAGCATTTGTAGCAATTCTGACTTCGAACCCAATATAAGAGCTATCTCAAAGGATGTGTTTTATGTCTTCTAAAATTCAAATTAAACTCCCTGGGTATCAGGGAAAGCAGAAATATGAAGGGACTGAGAAGATACAAACATCATCAAGAATGATGAATGTGCTTAATGGAGGTCTCATTTACAACCCAATGTTCAACCATGCCTCTGGAAACAGGTACCTACTTTCTTATAAGATAGCCTTGGGTTTACTAAAAAGCAACTGATATTCAATAGCGCATATTCTAAATTATATGAAGCAGATAAATTTACCCAGTGAGACCAAGTTGCTATAGTTCTCCATCATCACATCCCAATACAAGTCCCTCTGAGCTGAATCCAGATATTCCCATTCCTCTTGAGAGAAGTTGATGACCACATCCCTGAATGTCACCAATTCCTGAAACAACAAACCGTATATAGGTGAAATTGAAGGAAATATTTTTGAGAAAAAAGAAAAGAATTGCATTATGGCAGGTAGACTAAATAGTAACCTGGTAGGCCAAGGGTAGAAGATCTGTAGAACAGATAGGCACACAGGAGTTATACTGTTATGTGTGGTTCCAACTCTCACCAGAAAGTGAAAAACTATGGGAATGTGGGGCAGGCTCTATTTGGTAGGAAGGTTCAGAAAAAGGAAATGTTCACAAAGGTGACAGATCCAGCAACTTACATGGTCCATGCTTAGAACTGTAAAGAATTGGTCTGGGAATTCCATTTCTGCCATGACAGCGTGAGGAACTCCGATCACATGCTCCTCCGTCAAAACTGGTGAAAATTATATATAAAAATGTATAGCAAATGAAAAAAACATTTGTTCAAGAAAATCTGCTAAAACTTATTACAAGCTGAAATTCTACGGTATCTGAACCAAACCCTTCCTTGTTCATTCCATCTGAGTGAGAAAAATCCTCTATTCCATACTGGTACAGTCAAGGCTTCCTCACCACTCATCAACCCTTGCTCCCAGATAGATGGCCATCTTTCTGCGAGGAGCAGGACATCAACATTTCTCATCCTGCCCCCACCTACCTATTGCTCAGGAAAATGCAGCTAAGGGATAGAGATTTTCTTCTGTCTAGCAGCCACACACAAAATGTAATATGTGCCCTGGGTGTGGCAGTGGTAAGAATACCAGGGTTCTAGTTGTCTGCCTTGGATCATGGGAGAGGATCATTGATCATGCCGAGAGCAAATTGCAACTTCTGGCTGCTGTACCCCACCCCACCCCCAATCTACCAAGTACTCAGTTCCTAAAAGCAGAGGTGTGACTCAGAGTGAAGCATGCTATTGTCCCAAGCACTAGATCTGTGGCTCTGATTTCATCCAGGGGGAGAAGCAGGCCACAGACAAGAGAGCTGTATATCCCTCTCCAAAGGAAATTACTTCATTTGTAAACTATGGATAAATTCAAGCCTAAGGACATTCTCAAAAACAGCAAAGTTTTGGTAAAAGACTGAAAGACTCACTGGACGTGGATGTTTGATTTTCACAGGCATATATACATGTATTTTTTCCCCTTTCACTTAACCATTTTGAATATCAACTGTATAAAATAATATATTATTGGGCCTATAACATATAAAAGTATAATATTTCTGCTAGTAACACAGGGGAGGTGGGTAAAAGCAAAGCCAAATTGGGCTAAGTAAATGAATATAGCTGGTACTTCAAATCCACAATATCAAATCAAAAAAATAAAAAACAGTAAATAAGGGGCAACTGGCTGGCTCAGTAGGCATAGCATGTGGCTCTGATCTTGGGGTTGTGAGTTCAAGCACCATGCTGGGTGTAGAGCTTACTGAAAATTATAAGATTAAAACAACAAAAGCTATGACAGGTTTTCTTTTGTTCTCGTACTTTTAAAAAAAATTTAAATTCAATTAATACATATTATTGGTTTCAGAGGTATAGGCCTGTGATTCATCAGTCTTACATAATACCTAGTGCTCATTATATCACATGCCCTCCTTAATGTCCATCACCCAGTCACCCCATCCTTCCATCCCCCTCCCCTCCAGCAACCCTCAGATTGTTTTTTTTTTTTAAAGATTTTATTTATTTATCTGACACAGAGAGACACAGCGAGAGAGGGAACACAAGCAGGGAGAGTGGGAGAGGAGAAGCAGGCTTCCTGCGGAGCAGGGAGCCTGATGCAGGGCCTGGGATCATGACCTGAGACAAAGGCAGATGCTTAATGACTGAGCCACCCAGGCGCCTCCAGATTGTTTATGATTAAGAGTCTCTTATGGTTTGTCTCCCTCTCTGGTTTCGTCTTGTTTTTTTCCTCTCTTCCCCTATGATCCTGTTTTGTTTCCTAAATTCCACATATCCGTGAGATCATATGATAATTGTCTCTGATTGACTTATTTTTTAAAGATTTTTTATTTATTTATTTGACAGAGGGAGACACAGTGAGAGAGGGAACACAAGCAGGGGGAGTGGGAGAGGGAGAAGCAGGCTTCCCATGGAGCAGGGAGCCCAATGTGGGGCTCGATCCCAGGACCCTGGGATCATGACCTGAGCCGAAGGCAGACGCTTAATGATTGAGCCACCCAGGCGCCCTCTGATTGACTTATTTTGCTCAGCAAAACAGTTCAATCCACGTCACTGCAAATGGCAAGATTTCCATTTTTGATGGCTGTGTAATATTCCATTGTGTGTGTGTGTGTGTGTGTATACACCACATCTTCTTTATCCATTCATCTGTTGATGGACATCCGGGCTCTTTCCATAGTTTGGCTATTGTGGACATTGCTGCTATAAACATTGGGGTACGGGTGCCCCTTTGGATCACTACATTTGTATTTTTGGGGTAAATGCCCAGTAGTGGAGTTGCTGGGTCGTAGGGTAGCTCCATTTTCAACTTTTTGAGGAAACTCCATACTGTTTTCCAGAGTGGCTGCACAGTTGCATTCCCACCAACAGTGTAGGAGGGTTCCCCTTTTTGTTCTCATACTTTTTAAAAGACAAGTAACACTTCTCTATCTCATGGGATTTTAGTATATATGGAAAGCTGTTTCTCATTAGATGTATACATTAAGCTCTGGATCAACCACTAAAAATAGGTGCAAATCATTTATCTCATAAGGGGTTAAATATCCAAAATACATAAAGGACTCTTACAACTCAGTATAAAAAAAGACATAATCCAATTAAAAAATGGGCAGAGGATCTGAATAGACATTTTCCCCAAAAATATAAATGGTTAACAAATACATGAAAAGGTGCTCCATATCATTAATTGTCACAGAAATGCAATTCAAAACCACAATGAGATACTGCCTTATACCTGTTAGAATGGCTGTTATCAAAAAGACAACAAATAACAAGTGTTGGTGAGATGTGGAGAAAAGGGAAACCTTCTGCACTGTTGGGAATGTAAACTGGTGCAGCAGCTATGGAAAACACTATGGAGGTTCCTCAAAGATTTAAAAATAGAACCACCGTATGATCTAAGCAATTCCACCTCTATTTATCTGAAGGAAATGAAAGCTTTCAGAAAGATTTCTGCACCCCAATATGTTCACTGCAGCATTATCTAAAATACACAAGGCATGGAAACAAAATAAATGGTCACTGATGGTTGAATGGTTAAGGAAAATTTGGTGTGTATACAGAATGGAATATTATTCTGCCATAAAAAGGTAAGGAAATTGTGCCATTTGCAACTACTTGAATTGACCTCGAGGGCATTATGCTAGCTGAAGTAAATCAAAGAAAAATACTCAATGATCTCACTTATATCTGGAATTAAGACTTAAAAAACAAAACAACCTCACAGATACAACATAGTGGTGGTTTCCGGGGCAGGTGGGGGGGGGTGGAATGTGGGTGGGCGAAATGGATGAACGTGGCCAAGGAAGGTACAAATTTCCAATTATAAAGTAAGTCAAGAGGATATTAATGTATAGCATAGTAATTATACTTGATACTGTGTTGTATGTTTGAAAGTGGCTAAGATGGTAAATCTTAAGAGTTATCAGAAGAAGGTGATGGATGTTAACTGAATTTATTTTGGTAATAATCATTTTGCAATATACACATATATTAAATCATGTTGTACACCTAAAACTAATGTGTTACATGTCAATAATATCTCAATAAAGCTAAAAGAAGTAAAGAACAATGGTGAAGGCAATTGAAAGGCAAATATATAATCCAATAATACTGTATTTTGTGTTTGTTGTTCCTCCTTTTTTGTGATGTCTTTAAAGACCTGCGTAAAACATAATTATAAACCTATTTAAAGGGCACACAATGTATAAGGATATGATCTGGGACTAAAACATTAGAAAAGAAGGTTGGAGCAGTTATAGGAGCTAAACTTTTCTATACTATTAAAGCTAAATTGCTGTACAGTGAAGGTTTGACTCAGCAGGTCTGAAATGTTTAAGCCCTGCCCATTCCAAACAAAGTGTAGGCCCTTAACCAGCTCCTGGTAGATTACCTCTAGTCCCTGGAATATCTGGCATTTAATGATTTTAATCTGTATCCTGTCACTGGAAAAAATGAGTACAACAGCTTTTCTGATGTGTGTGAATCCTTCTGGCAAATCATTGAAACTGAGGGTAGTCTTGGGACCCCTGAATAAAGATGGTTTTATTTCAAACTAGTTCATCATAAATACAAATTTTTAATTGAAGTCTACAGGATAAATGCTAAGAAAATGACTAAATGGTATAATGAATAGGAAATAAAAAAGGAGTAAAATGATAAACTATAAAAAAAATCAATGGACAGAAAGGAAACCAACTAGGGACAGAAAAGTAAAGAAGATACAGTGTATATAGAAAACAAGTAGAAAATGGTAGAAGCAAGTCTTCCGTTATTACATATTAAATGCAAATAGATTAGACTTTTCAACTAAAAGGCAGACATTGGCAGAATGGGTAGCAAATATGGTATAACTGTATTCAATTACAACAAACTGATAACAAATCCAAATATATAAATAGGTTGAAAATAAAAGGATGGAAAAGTATATTGCATACCGTAGTCATCAAAGAGCTGGATGGCTATACTAATTATGAGACCAAACAGGCTTTACGTCAGTACTTCTTACAGGAGACAAAGAAACCTCATATGTTGATAAAAGGGTCTGCCTACAAGAAGACACAACTATGAACACATATGCCTTGAAGCAACAATTGACAGGATTGAGGAGAGAAATAGAAAGTTCTTTTTTATTTTTTAAGATTTATTTATTATTGGGGCACCTGGATGGCTTCAGTTAAGTGGCTGATTCTTGATTTCAGCTCAAGTCATAATCTCAGGGTTGTAAGACTGAGAGCCCTGAGTTGGGCTCTGTGCTCAGTTGGGAGTCTGAGATTCTCTTTCCCTCTCCCGCTGCCCCTCCTCCTGCTTGCAGACGCATGCTCTCTCTCTCTCAAATAAATTTTTTTTTAAGAAAAGTTTTGCCTATCCATAATAAAATTAGAAGTAACAGAAAGAAAAATGGGAAACTCAAAAACATGTGGAATTTAAACAAAACACTCCTAAATAACACATCAAAAATGAAAAGGGAAACTGGAAAATATCTTGTGAATAACACAACATATCAAAATTTATGACAGGCAATTAATGATTAGAGGAAAACTTTTGAAGCTTAAAGTGCCTATAATTAAAAGTAAATATCTAGGGGCGCCTGGGTGGCTCAGTCGTTGGGCGTCTGCCTTCAGCTCAGGTCATGATCCCAGGGTCCTGGGATTGAGCCCTGCATCGGGCTCCCTGCTCAGCAGGAAGCCTGCTTCTCCCTCTCCCACTCCCCCTGCTTGTGTTCCCTCTCTCACTGTGTCTCTCTCTGTCAAATAAATAAAATCTTAAAAAAAAAAAGTAAATACCTAGGTCAAATCTAACCTCCCTCCTTAAGTCACTGGGAAAAGAGTAAAGATATCAAATAGGAAAAATACCCCAAAATAAATGAAACTGAAAGCTAGTTTTATGAGAAGTTTTTAAAAGTTCACAAATGTTTAGAAAATCTAAAATGACTGAAGAGAGAAGACTCCCATTACTATAATCATAACTGAAAGAGGGGACAACACTACCAGCTTAACAGAAATGAAAATTGATTACGAAGGATCAAAATGAACAATTGCACAAGAAATCAGAAAACCCAGATGAACTGGATAAATTCATAGAAACACACAAACTTTCAAATTTACTCATGAAGACAGAATATTTGAATAATCTTGAATTATTTTTAAAACTACCCATAAAGAAAAGCCCAGGTCTGCATAGCTTCACTGTTAAATTCTATGAAACATTTAAAGCAGAATACTAATTCTTCACCAACTCTTCAAGATGTAAAAAAGGAGAGAAAACTTCCCAACTCATTTTATGAAGCCAATACTAGATAGTAATATCAGAAGAAGACATTACAATAAAATGGCAACTACCACTGTATCTTTTATGAATATGGATGCAAAAAATCTAAACAAAACACTGGTAACCTGAATCTAGGAACATATAAAAATAATTACATACCTTGATTGAGTGGGATTTATCCCTGGAATTCAAAATTAGATTGTTAATCTAATGTGATATATCGTTATCAGTGTAATAAAAAATAAAAACTACATGACCTTTTTCATACATGAAGAATAAGCATTTGACAAAATCCAACACCCTTTCATGACAAGAGAGTGAATTTAGGAATAGAAGGGAACTACCTCCACATGATAAAATTGACAGCTACCATTAGACACAGTGATCTTACCCCTAATATCAGAACAGGACAAGGATATATAAATCTTATTGCCTCTTCTTTTTTAAAATTTATTTAGTTGAGAGAGAAAGAGTGAGTACAAGTGGGAGAAGCAGAGGGAGAAAGAATCTCAGACTCCGGCTGAGCACGGAGCCCCACGGTGGCTTGATCTCACGACCCCAAGATCACAACCTGAGCCAAAACCAAGATTTAGACACCCAACCAACTGCGCCACCCAGATGCACCCCCTCATTGCCTCTTATCATCAACATTGTTCTAGAGGTATAGCAAGGACAAACAGGAAATAAAAAGAGGCACGCGTAGTGGAAAGAAGGAAGGAAAATAATCTCCATTAATAGATGACATGACCTTGTATACAGAAAACCCTAAAACACTGACTGTAACACTATTAGAACTCAGCAAATCGCAGGATGCAAATAAATATGCAAAAATCAATTATATGTTTATACATTTGCAATAATAATCTGAATTAAAATAATTCCAAGATGCCTGGGTGGCTCAGTTGGTTAAGCAACCGACTCTTGATTTCAGCTCAGGTCAAGCAGGAAGTCTGCTTGAGATTCTTTCTCCCTCACCCTCTGTCCCTCATCCTCGCTCACCCTTGTGCACATGTGCACTCTCTAAAATAAATAAATCTTTTTTAAAAAAGGAAAAAATAATTCCATTTATAACAGTATCCAAAGGAATGAAATATTTAACAAAAATGCAAACTGTGTCCTTTAAAAAAAAATTAGTAAAAGAACTTAATTAAGCTTAAAGTCATCCCATGTTTATGAACTGGACTACTAGACAGTAAGATCGCAATATTCCTCAAAACGATCTACACATTCAGTGTAACCCCATCAGAGTCCCAGTTGGCTTCTTTGTAGACACTGACATGCTGACTTTTTTTTTTTTTTAAGATTTTATTTATTTGTTTGACAGAGAGAGACACAGCCAGAGAGGAACACAAGCAGGGGGAGTGGGAGAGGGAGAAGCAGGCCTCCCACGGAGCAGGGAGTCTGACACGGGGCTTGATCCCAGAACCCTGGGATCACGACTGAGCCACCCAGGCGCCCCTGACATGCTGACTTTTAAATTCATGTGAAATTGTAAGTGATTCAGAATAACAAAAATATCTGGAAAAAAAAAAAAAATTGGAAGACTAGCAATTCCCAACCTAATCAAAGCAACTGAATGTTGCCATAATGTTAAATATATTAATCAACAGAATGGAACTGTTTGGAAATTAAACCCATGTATCTCTAGTCAATTGATTTTTTTTAGGATTTATTTATTTATTTTAGAGAGAGTGAGAATGGGTGTGGGGGGGAGGGCAGAGGGAGGGAGAACGAGAATCTCAAGCGGACTCCTTGCTGAGGGGCGAGCCTGACTCCGGGCTGGATCTCACGACCCTGAGATCATGACCTAAGCCCAAATCAGAGATGCCTAACTGACTGAGCCACCCAGGTGCCCCA